AAAAGACTGTTCTTTTCAACATCCCAATGTTTTTGTCTATTTCGCTGCTTGTTACATCGTCCCCGTAACGTTGCAAGCGTAGATGCTGGGGTATGGTGGACTGTCATGGTGACATCTTTACGTCTGTGTTTTCAGTCAGTGTAAAATCGTTGATAATATTGACATATCTGGATGTGTTTAAATTCAAAACATTGTATTTTATGAATGCTTCGAAAACAACTGGTTGTCAATATAAAAAAGCTGATGCACGTGCAGGGATTTATTGTAACAGCTGATAGGCAATGCCAATCATATTTTGTCAAACAATAATGTTTATATTTTTATCTCTGTTTTGTTTTTTGAAGATGATTAAGTCAATGACACCATTTTAGGTAACTTCTTTGAGAGGCATAGAACTTGGTTTTCCATCACCATTTTAGGTAGTTTTGCCTGCAGGATATTGTAATAAAAGAGTAAATAAATTGATGAAATTCATGTCCATTAAGTCACAATTAATCATTGTTTTTTATAATAAGCATGGAAGTCCAAATATTATGGCATTATAACAGTTTTGAGATCTTATGATCGAGTCTGGACCAGACAATCCAGTGATCAACATCACGAGCATTGATTTACGCAACTGGGATATGATGACATGTGTCAACCAAGTAAGCGAGCCTGAACACCCGATCCCATTTGTCACGTCTTATGACAAGCATGAGTTACTGAAGACCAATTCTAACCTAGATCTTCACAGGTCTATATATGGTAATACCAACAAGACCATGCATTACATTGTTGTACTCTACACTTCAGACTCCCTTTTTGGGCGGTGGGGTAGCCTAGTGGTTAAAGCGTTCGCTCGTCACGCCGAAGACCCGGGTTCGATTCCCCACATGGTTACAATGTGTGAAGCCCATTTCTGGTGTCCCCTGCCTTGATATTGCTGGAATATTGCTAAAAGCGGCGTAAAACCATACTCACTCACGCACTCAGACTCCCTTTTCCCTTGAGATGTGAGGTAGACTATCTCTAGTGTCACCTTATATTTTTCTAAATGGTCCCCCATATTAAAGGAATACTGTACACTGAAGTGTACATTACTATAAGCTCAGTTTGAGTTGTTTCATACATGATGATGGTGGGGTAACCCAGTGGTTAAGGAGTTCGCTCGTCACGCCAAAGACCCGGGTTCGATTCCCCACATGGTTACAATGCGTGAAGCCCATTTCTGGTGTCCCCCGCCATGATATTGCTAGAATATTGGTAAAAGTGGCGTAAAGCTAAACCCACTCACTCCTATATATAGGTAACTGTGCATACCAGAGTGATATGTGATATGCAAACAGAGGCATAAAACAAAAGTCACTCACTCACTCCGAAGACCCAGGTTCGAGTCGCCCCATGGGTACAATGTGTGAAGCCCATTTTTGGTGTACGCCACCATGAAAATGCTGGAATATTGTTGAAAGTAGTAGCGTAAAACCAAACTCACTCACTCACTCAGTGGTACACTTGTGTACTGATACATGTACCTTCTTCAAGCAGAATTCAACAACTGAAAAGGATCAAATCCACTGTGTATTCAGTTTTCACAAAGTTCTGCTGATCCACGGATTTCTGCTGATTTTATTTCAAATTGATCAATTCTGTGAATCGTCTGAACACCTCATTCAATTCAGTTTTCAGCTGAAAATAGATTTTCCTGTTGACATCTGTGTGTATTGACTGGGACATGCCACTTTACTGGCCCAAAAATTGTTTTGAACTGATTTGCAAAGCAACTTGTGAAATATTGGGAGCTGAAATGGGGCAATGGGGTAGCCTTGTGGTTAAAGAGTTCGCTCGTCCCGTTGCGAAGCCCATTTCTGGTGTCCTCCGCCATGGTATTGCTGAAATAAAGTGGCGTAAAATATGCTCACTCACTGTTTGAAACTGATTGACACTGGTAGTTCAGTTTATACCATTTTGTATTCCTGGAAACAGGGGAACTTACAACATGTGAGAATAACCACTTCCTTGTTTTTATCTTTTTCTGTACTTATGTCTAAAAATAACCATGAAAAATACTTCTCTTACTTTAGGATTCTTCATAAGAATAAAACTCCGAGCAAGTTATGTTTGTCATAATTAGATGGAATGACCCAATTTGTTTGGCTCTGTGCCTTGCCTTGCCTTGGCATTGTATTCTAGTGGCGAGAATTGATTCTTATTATGTTAATCACTGGATGTTGAAGAACTATGGGTGGTGGGGTAGCCCAGTGGTTAAAGCGTTTGCTTGTCACTCCAAAGATCTGGGTTCGATTCCCCACATGAGTACAATGTGTGAAACCCATTTCTGGTGTCCCCCGCCGTGATATTGCTGGAATATTGCTAAAAGCGGCGTAAAACCAAACTCAGTCAGTCAGTCAAATTGAGATTGGAATGATAGCAATTCGATTTCAATATTTTAGTAATTTGTGGAATGTAAAACAGTATGATCTTTGGTAATGAATTATGGAGGGAACTGTTACTGGTGAATGAAAGTATGTGTAGATTTTTATGTTAAACCATGGAGATAATCACAAAACTTCATGTACTATTTTAACAGTATACAAGTTCTCAGAAAAAATATTGCAATTGTATCTTATGAAAAGAGTATTGTAGTATACCTGTGTGCTGAAAACGTTTAGGGTATGGGAGCCCAGTGATCCATGGTTCCACTGTTTTATTTGCAGAGTTGTGTCCCCTGGGCATGCCAGGATATCATGATTGTTTCTAGGTTTGTCAGCATCAGACTCATTGTTGGAGATTTCACCATAGTGGAGCCATGTTTTTTGCCTTGTGGTTAAAGCATTCATTTGTCACGCTGAAGACCAGGGTTCGATTCCCCACATGGGTACAATGTGTGAAGCCCATTTCTGGTGTCCCCTGCTGTGATTTTGCTGAAATATTGCTAAAAGCGGCGTAAAACTAAGTTCGCTCACTTACCATAGTGGCCAATGTCAAGACCTGCATGTCTTCAAGCTTTCCTTCAAATTTATGCTGATATATTATCCGTGATCTCTTGTGGATGATTCTGTTATCTGGAGGGATGTAGGTTAACTGTTGTCATAGGGTACATTATTATAGGATGGAGGTTAACTGTTGTCATAGGGTACATTGTTATAGGATGGAGGTTAACTGTTGTCATAGGGTACATTATTATAGGAATATATGTTAACTGTTGTCATAGGGTACATTATTATAGGATGGAGGTTAACTGTTGTCATAGGGTACATTATTATAGGAATATATGTTAACTGTTGTCATACGGTACATTATTATAGGATGTAGGTTAACTGTTGTGACAGGGTACATTATTATAGGATGTAGGTTAACTGTTTGTCATGGGGTACATTATTATGGAATGTAGGTTAACTGTTGTCATAGGGTACAAATTATTATAGGATGGAGGTTAACGTCATCGGGTACATTATTATAGGATGTAGGTTAACTGTTGTCATAGGCTACATTATTATAGGATGGAGGTTAACTGTTGTGATAGGGTGCATTTTTATAGGATGGAGGTTCACTGTTGTGATAGGGTGCATTATTATAGGATGGAGGTTCACTGTTGTGATAGGATACATTATTATAGGATAGAGGTTAACTGTTTGTCATAGGATACATTATTATAGGATGTAGGTTAACTGTTGTCATAGGGTACATTATTATAGGATGTAGGTTAACTGTTGTCATGGGGTACATTATTATAGGATGTAGGTTAACTGTTGTCATCGGGTACATTATTATAGGATGTAGGTTAACTGTTTGTCATGGGGTACATTATTATGGAATGTAGGTTAACTGTTGTCATAGGGTACATTATTATAGGATGGAGGTTAACTGTTGTCATAGTGTATATTATTATAGGATGGAGGTTAACTGTTGTGATAGGGTACATTATTATAGGATGTAGGTTAACTGTTTGTCATGGGGTACATTATTATAGGATGTAGGTTAACTTGTCATAAGGTACATTATTATAGGATTTAGGTTAACTGTTATGGGGTATATTATTATGGAATGTAGGTTAACTGTTGTCATAGGGTACACTGTTATGGGATGGAGGTTAACTTTTTGTCATGGGGTACATTATTATGGAATGTAGGTTAACTGTTGTCATAGGGTACATTATTATGGAATGTAGGTTAACTGCTGTTATGGTACATTTTTATAGGATGGAGGTTAACTGTTGTCATAGGGTACATTATTATGGAATGTAGGTTAACTGTTGTGATAGGGTACATTATTATAGGATGTAGGTTAACTGTTGTCATAGGGTACATTATTATGGAATGTAGGTTAACTTGTGATAGGGTACATTATTATAGGATGAGGTTAACTGTTGTCATAGGGTACATTATTTATTGGCATGTAGGTTAACTGTTGATTACAATAACTAATATTGTGCATCCCTCTAGAATTTTTTTCTGCGTCCATTCTCTACAGTTGTGCATAGTCACACGCACATTAAAAATAATGCTCGTTGCGTAAAACCTTGACACTGGTTCTCAATATATTTTTGGGTGTGCCCTGAATCATGTCGGTGTGCCAGTGAGAAAAATATTTATCAATAAAAAATGAGGTTATTTGAGTTGTACACCACCTTTCGCATACTTTAATTGTTACTTTTAAATTGCATCCTCCTTTCACACACGTCAAGTCTTGCCGGGGTGAGAGGTAAACATGAAGGATGCATTGTAACGTGTGTTTCATCGCTTGTATTACTATCCTGAACTTTTCACACAGATTTATTAAAATTACAGTGTACCGCTGTCGTGAAAAGATTCTTGTGCGGCTCATTATTCACTTTGATATTTGACAGAAGAAATCTTTCGTAAGTCATTCTTATGTGACTATTGGAAAATTAGAGTTAACAGGGATTATTTAAACCAAGGAAATATGTATACTATAAATGTCAGATAGTCAATACAGGGTTCGAAATACTCCATATATTAGGATGCCGTGGCACGGTAAATATTGAAATGGCACGGATAAAAACTGTTCTCGGTGCCCTTGTGGCATGCCTAATTTTTTAGAGACATAACTCACCTTTAGTCATTTAATCCCAAAAACAAATCACTTACACAAATGACAAGCAAGCAAAAATATTTCTTGACTTTATCGCCCAGGAAATCAATGGAATTATGATGGATGATGTAAAGAAATCTGGTTGTTTTTCCATTAAGAGTGATGGGAGTACTGATAGTTAGGTTATTGAAGAGGAAATTGTGTATGTTAGCAAAATTCTCAGCTATTAAAAGTGTTGGAAAAGTTGAACAAATGAAGCTTAAGAAAGCCATTTTAAACAGAAGACATATCAGTGAAAACAGAAAACAGGTTACGTTTGTTGTTTACTAACAATAAATTTCAAAAGATCATCATCACTGCTACAGTCATTTATTCTAAAAACAGGTGGGCACACTTGATTTCTGAAAGGCACATTTAAAATATTTGGGGAGCTTGGGGATACAGTTGTCTGTTTAGAGGGGGGGTGGGGTAGCCTAGTGGTTAAAGCATTGGCTCGTCACGCCGAAGACCCGGGTTCGATTCCCAACATGGGCACAATGTGTGAAGCCCATTTCTGGTGTCCCCCGCCGTGATATTGCTGGAATATTGCTAAAAGCGGCGTAAAACTAAACTCAGACAGTCAGTCAGTCAGTCTGTTTACATGTTGAAGGCCTGTGTTTGATACCCTACAAGCGCAGTTTGTCTTGCCAGTCTGTTAAAGAAATTGACGAGTAAAGGAAGGAAACGTGTTTATTATTGTAGTCTGTTTGCAGTGAAAACGTACCGATGAATTTCACTTTAAACAATAAAGTAAATCAAATAAAGTGAAATTAAGATTGCGAATCCTCATTATTTTACCTTGCCAACTGAACATTTAAATCTCAGAATTTTATTCAACTTAGGATAAAAGTTGTTTAACAAACGATCAAACGATCTCCTACGCAAGCAACCCACCTGTGAAGATCCGGGTTAGAACTGGTCTCCAGCAACCCATAATTGTCATAAGAAGCGACTAATGAGATCGGGTGGTCAGGCTCGCTGACTTGGTTGACATGTCATCATAACCTAATTGCATAGATCAATGCTCATGCTGTTGATAACTGGATTATCTGGTCCAGACTCGATTATTGTCCCTCGCCGCAACACGGAACAGGGGACTATGTATTCAGCGGCGTCCATACGTCCCGATTCCTGTTAACGCGATACCTCATGAACGTCCTCGATTCTTGTTAACGCGATACCTCATGAACTGTTCTACGCAATGTCTTCAAATTTGGTCACAGCTTACATTGGGGGATTACGCAGACACCAGTTTATTTGGGTGACCGTGGCCTCATTTTCAAGGTCACCGCGACACTTTGACCACTTTTCAAACTCTTGTTAACGCAATATCTCGTTGACTGTTGTACCCAGAGTCTTCAAATTTGGTGACAGCCTACATTGGGGGATTACGCAGACACCAGTGTATTTGGGTGACCTTGACCTTATTTTCAAGGTCACCACGACACTGACCACTTTTCAAACTCTTGTTAACGTGATACCTCATGAACTGTTCTACGCAATGTCTTCAAATTTGGTGACAGCTTACATTTGGGGATTACGCAGACACCAGTTTACTTGGGGACATTGCCATATCAGTGGCAAACACTTGTTTACAGACTGCTGCCATATAGCTGGAATATTGCTGAGTGCGGCTTAAAAAAAGAAACAAACAAACCAAGTAAGCAATTCTATAATTTCCACAATAACCACTAGTGCCATTTACTGTGATTGTTAAAAAATTCATGAACACTTACACAAAGGTTGAACGATTAGCTGCTTTTACTATACTTTAACATAGCCTTATAGCCTTACGGATAACTGTTGATGCGCTATTGGTATGCTCTTGGTATATTTGTGCATCTCTCTGGACTTTTGTTTTTTGGGTTTTGTTCATACTGGATGCAGATTTGTGTGTCGCGTGAATTTCTGAAGGGTCCCTCACTGACTATGTTCACGGAGACTCCGACAGTCGTCAACTGTTCCGTGAGCATGACAACATGGGGAGTACGACAACATGGTGTTCCCGGCAGTTGTGTTTACATGTTGCACGGTCGTGGCTTTAATCGTTTGTACTCTGACACACCCGCTTTATGAAGGATGAAGTGAATACCTTCACCCTTAACTTCAGTGCTAGTTTAATGAGCTTGGAGGAATGTTACTGATTACACAGAAGGCTATGTCTGGTTAAATCATGAAGAAAACTTGTGGAGGATTTTTGTATGAATTTTAGTGTTTTTGTTGTCATGAATCTTGACGTCATAAAGCGTTCAGACTCTGTAGAACAGGCAGTAGTTGGGCCAACAGGTGGACATAGGGAGACCTGTGTCTCATGCAGGGACAGATATCATATTTTCAAATATGCCTTAGGGCATCACCAAGATGTTGAATTTTGGAAATTTAAGTTTGTCAAAGAGAAGAATACTTTCTGAGTTTTTAATGTTTGTCTTTAACCCTTTGATTGATGTTGTGTTTAACTCTTTATCACTCACTGGCCTGTATGGATTAGATAGAAACACATTGGTACCTCAGGAGTTGAAGTGTTTGCTCGTCGAGCTGACAGCCAAGGTTCAACTCCACACATTTGAAGTCCATTTCTGTTGTCCCATGTGATATTCCTGGAATATTGATAACAGCGGAACAAAGCCCAACTTACTTGCTTACCTAGAATAACAGGTAAGTCTACCAGAATAGTTTCCTTTCATGGTTGGTGGTGTTCTGTATGAGTTGCATACTGGGTTGCTGGCATACTGATGTGCTGGGATAGTGGGTTGCTGGCATACTGATGTGCTGGGTTAGTGGTGTACTGGGTTGCTGGCATACTGATGTGCTGGGATAGTGGTGTACTGGGTTGCTGGGATAGTGGTGTACTGGGTTGCTGGGATAGTGGTGTACTGGGTTGCTGGGATAGTGGTGTACTTGGTTGCTGGGATAGAGGTGTACTGGGTTGCTGGGATAGAGGTGTACTGGGTTGCTGGGATAGTGGTGTACTGGGTTGCTGGGATAGTGGTGTACTGGGTTGCTGGGATAGAGGTGTACTGGGTTGCTGGGATAGAGGTGTACTGGGTTGCTGGAATAGTGGTGTACTGGGATAGTGGTGTACTGAGTTGCTGGCATACTGATGTGCTGGGATAGTGGTGTACTGGGTTGCTGGCATACTGATGTGCTGGGATAGTGGTGTACTGAGTTGCTGGCATACTGATGTGCTTGGATAGTGGTGTACTGGGTTGCTGGCATACTGATGTGCTGGGATAGTGGTGTACTGGGTTGCTGGCATACTGATGTGCTGGGATAGTGGTGTACTGGGTTGCTGGCATACTGATGTGCTGGGATAGTGGTGTACTGAGTTGCTGGCATACTGATGTGCTGGGATAGTGGTGTACTGGGTTGCTGGCATACTGATGTGCTGGGATAGTGGTGTACTGAGTTGCTGGCATACTGATGTGCTGGGATAGTGGTGTACTTGGTTGCTGGCATACTGATGTGCTGGGATAGTGGTGTACTGGGTTGCTGGGATAGTGGTGCACTGGGTTGCTGGGATAGTGGTGTACTGGGTTGCTGGGATAGTGGTGTACCGGGCTGCAGGGATAGTGGTGTACTGGGTTGCTGGGATACTGGTGTACTGGAGTACTGGGATAGTGGTGTACTGGGTTGCTGGGATAGTGGTGTACCGGGCTGCAGGGATAGTGGTGTACTGGGTTGCTGGGATACTGGTGTACTGGGATAATGGTGTACTGGGTTGCTGGGATAGTGGTGTACTGGGGTTGCTGGGTACTGCTGGGATAGTGGTGTACTGGGTTGCTGGGATAGTGGTGTACTGGGTTGCTGGGATACTGGTGTACTGGGATAGTGGTGTACTGGGTTGCTGGGATAGTGGTGTACTGGGTTGCTGGGATAGTGGTGTACTGTGTTGCTGGGATACTGGTGTACTGGGTTGCTGGGATAGTGGTGTACTGGGTTGCTGGGATAGTGGTCTACTGGGTTGCTGGGATACTGGTTTATTTGGTTGCTGGGATACTGGTGTGGATAGTGGTGTGTTTGGTTGCTGGGTTGCTGGGATAGGGGTGTATTTGGTTGCTGGGATACTGGTGTACTGGGTTGCTGGGATACTGGTGTATTTGGTTGCTGGAATAGTGGTGTACTGGGTTGCTGGGATACTGGTGTATTTGGTTGCTGGGGTAGTGGGGTACTGGGTTGCAGGGATACTGGTGTACTGGGTTGCTGGGATAGTGGTGTACTGGGTTGCTGGAATAGTGGGGTACTGGGTTGCTGGAATAGAGGTGTACTTGGTTGCTGGGATAGTGGTGTATTGAGTTGCTGGTATAGTGGTGTACTGGGTTGCTGGAATAGTGGTGTACTGGGTTGCTTGGATACTGGTGTACTGGGTTGCTAGGATACTGGTGTACTGGGTTGCTGGAATAGTGGTGTACTGGGTTGCTTGGATACTGGTGTATTGGATTGCTGGGATAGTGGTGTACTGGGTTGCTGGGATAGTGGGTTACTGGGTTGCTGGAATAGTGGGGTACTGGGTTGCTGGAATAGTGGGGTACTGGGCTGCTAGGATACTGGTGAACTGGGTTGCTAAGATAATCAGGTGTACTGGGATACTTGGTTGCTGGGATACTGGTTGCTAGGATACTGGGGTTTTGTGATACTTGTGTACCTGGTTGCTAGGATACTGGTGTACTGGGTTGCTGGGATACTGATGTACTGGGTTACTGGTGTACTGGGTTGCTGGGATACTAGTGTACTTGGTTGCTGGCATACTGGTGTACTTGGTTGCTGGGATACTGGTGTACTGGGTTGTTAGGATACTGGTGTACTAGGTTGCTAGGATACTGGGATACTGGTGTACTGGGTTGCTGGGATACTAGTGTACTAGGTTGCTAGTGTACTGGATTGGTGGTGTACTAGCTTATTGAGGTTTAGCAGTAGGTACTTCTGGGTTATATGAATGAGAAAGTAGTGGATTACTTTAGTAGGGGATGGTTGACTTTTGGGTTGGGATAACAAGTACTGGGTGATTAGTGTGTTGTAACAAGTACTGGGTGATTAGTGTGTTGTAACAAGTACTGGATGATAAGTGTGTTGTAACAAGTCCTGGGTGATT